AAAATCAGATTCTTCGAATATTGCATCGTTGAATATCAAAATGGCAGGTCCTTGCCATTCCTTCATCTCATCACAAATTAAAGATTTGGTAGGGTGTGAGCGATCATCAACGATTACGTGAAACCTTTTAGCACCAGCATCATCGGCTATCATTCTGAAGGAATTCTTTGAATATGCTTTCAAAGGGATAATCCTAACAAATGCAATGAAATTAATCTTAAAGAACACTATAATGACATTTAAATATATATGAACATACCTTTATGATATTGCGAATGGATGAAATAAGAGTTTCATTTTGACCATAAGGTCGAAATTTTGAACCCAACGTCATGGTTTTTTTTAAAACAACGAGGGAGCATGAATTAGTTTATGTCGTTAAAAAATTCACAAAAAATTATTTTATCCCGCGGTCCTTAATTAATCATCCTTGATTTTTTTGTTGATATTTTCAGTTAATTTGTTTTTTATTTTGCTAACATTTACGCCCATGAAAATCTTTAAAAAATTTATATCATAATTTTCACGAAAAACCCATTAACATATTTGCAAACAAGGGTAAAAGGCTAAAAAGCTTTTCCAAATAGTTTAGCATTGACTTAGTTAATCACCTCATTTGGTACCAGCTGAGAAGTTCCTGACCATTTACCCTTATATTACGAATGGATGAAATAAGGCCGAAATTTTGAGGTTTTTTTTCAAAACAATGAGGGAGCATGAATTGGTTTATGTCGGTTAAAAAAATTCATTTTATTTTTATCCTGCAGTCCCCAATTAGTCATCCTTGATTTTTTTTATTGATATTTTTCAGTTAATTTTTTATTTTGCTAACGGTCTTTTACGCTCATGAAAATCTTTAAAAAATTTATGGTTCATGAAACAACTTCATATGAAATACATCCGAGTTTCCTGACCATTATATAAAAATCGATGAGAGATTATATTATTTTCACTAACTTTAATATCAATTTTATAGAATCTTTTATACCATATTTATAATTTTTTATTATTAATTTACAATTAATAATATAATTAATTGTAAAATGATTATATGATTGCAGAATTACGGAATAAAAATATAGGCCAATCAAACTGATTGACGAGAAAAGAGATTGGAGATTGGACTTTAAATTTTAATTAATATTTAGTCACATAGAGATAATTTCATTGGTCTAAATCTCTCAATTTTTTACTTCGAGGCTCTTTTTCACTTTTTATATATTAAAAAATTATAAATTTAATTCAGAAGAGGAACTATATACACTAATATATGAAAATTAACCGATTACTAAATATAATCGGCTGATCGGTTAAATTTAAACGAGTTATTATTCGTATAAAAATATCTTAACCGGTTAATCGCGGTTATATGGTATGGTATATGGCACGCCAAACAGGACAAAAGTCCGGGTTAAATCGCACATGTATTATGGTATGGCACGCCATAGTTAACCGGATAACTTCGAGTAAACGGTTAACGGTTCCAATCTCTATTATGTACTGGTATACAAAGCTTCATATGGAAATAAAAGATAAATTTATTTAACTGCTTCTTTTGAGCGTTCAAGAATTGGTGAGCAACTATACATCGAAATTCAGGATTTGTAACATTTACAGCGACATGTCTATGTAATTATATGTAACTTTCGGATATGCAATAACCGATCAAAAATTAAAATTTTTTAACAAATTCATTATTACAAAATCTGGTGAGAGAGATATTTTTTGCAGCATATTCAGCAGTAATTTCTATATAAATTCATATTAAATTCATATACTTCCATGCCTTTCTTGCAAACTTTAAAATATCTTCGTACATAACAATCAATTCGATCTTCATAATATAATCTATAAATAACGAATTAAAAAAGCCGAAATTTAATTTTTTTATTAATGAAATATATACATTTTTTGTATCTCTATAAAATATTTTTTTTTTTATAAAAATAAAAAATAATAGGTTATTTTTATCAGTTTATTTTCATGTATAATATTCTTTTTTTAATAGTCTTCTAAAATCACATGAATTTATTGGTGCAAACACCATAGTATCGCTATTAAATGAGAATCTTGAAGAAAGTTTTCCTAAAAAAGTAACAATCACAAAACTTCAATTTGCTTGACATCAGTTTTAATAGATAATGATGAAAAATGATGTAGCTCTAGAAATTTGAGAGTAAAGTTCATTAAGCAAAATTTAACAAGAAATGTAATAAATATATTTGAAACTGCAAATTAAAGCAGCACAAGATATTTCTTGATGATTTATGTACATCAACGAAAAGATGCAATGTTGTAGAATTTAATAAATAAACTTTTAATAATATTTAATAATTTAGATAAATATTTTAATATCGAAATTCGTTGTGGGATTTTATATCATCAAAAAATTTTACTCTTAATGGTATATCTCACCTTAAAATTGCTAATTGAAAATATCTTTTTGCAAGATGTAATTTCAAAAGACAATGCCAAGTCACAAAACCAATTAACCGGTAATTGTTAAAAATCATTAATTGATTCTATAGACCAACATCTAGATATAACAGATAATATGTTTAACTAATTATTTATTACATTTAATTAATTAACTAGCCATTTATTTTTTTTTGGGTATCCACCACATAAATAAGATTGGAATTGACAATGTTAATTAGTGTCACATTTGTTATACATTTTTTTAATTTAGTTTAAAAAATTAAATTAAGGAGAGTGTTAAGATTTTTATTTTTATTAAGTTT